GGAAGCATTTATTCCACTGAGCATCTCCTCGGCCCCTCAAATTATCTTATTGGGCTCTTTGTTTTTGAGTCTCAACATAAATCTGACTAACCCGCCCCCAACAATAGCCATGCCATTGTTTCAACATTTGACTGCCTTGAATTTTTTTTTTTTCATTTATTTATGTATTTGGTACAGGGTCTCACTACGTAGCTCAGATTCCTCCTATTTTCAGCCTCCTTAGCGCTGAGATTACAGGTGTGCCACCACACCCGAGTGCCACCACGCCTGGTCTCCGTAACCAGCATAGTATATGGTGCCAGAGTTCGAACCCCAGGCCCTGTGCTTGCCTAAGCAGGTGCTTAGTCTACTGAGCTATCTTGCCAGCCGTTAGTATTTTCTTTTTTCCACAAACTTCACAACCCTGATCTTTATAGGCAGGATTTTTATCAGCATTTTGGTCTTTTGAGGTCGAATACTACAAGCTATGTCTCAGAAAGACAAAAACATAAAAAATAAAAAAATAATTGGCTAAAAACTTTAAACAAACTTTAACATTTTTAAAGAAACTTAGGAATATTATAATACACTTCATCTAGAAAAGCAAATGCTTACAAGAAATAAATACATAAGAAAGCAAAGAAATAATGAGGAGAGACTTTCCTTTCTAGATATAAAAAATATCCTATAAAACCATGGTAATTAAAACAAATACTAGGGCTGGGCAAATGGTTCAGCGGATTAAAGTGCCTGCAAGCAGGCAGAGGGGCTGGGGTGGTGGCACACACCCATAATCTCAGTTCTTGGGCTACTCTAAGCAGGTGGATCACTAGAGTCTGAACTAGTAGTGAGACCCTGAACACCCTGTAGACCCTTCCGTAAAATTAAAAAAAAAAAAAAAAACCCAACTTATTTATTGTAGTACTAAAGATTGAGCCCAGGGCTTTTGAATTGAGCTACATTCTCAGCCCTTTTAAAAATTTTCTTAGGGCTAGGGAGAGGGCGATAGCTTGGCAATCTTGGTACCTGCCTGGCAAAAGCAAGGGGCCGAGTTCGATCCCAGCACTGCACGCTGTGCTGGCCAGGATCCTGGGCATGCAGTGCTGGCCCTGGAACCAGGTATGGTGGTGCACACCTATAATCCCAGTGCTGGGGAGGCTGAGACAGGAGGATCACTAAACTGTGGAAGTGCTTATTCCGCTGAGACCCTGGACCAAATAAATAGATTTTGTTTTTTGAAACTGGGAATTGAGGGCCGGGAGAGACGGCTCAGTAGAATAAGTGCTTCCCTGGCAAGCGCAAGGTCCTTAACGCTTCACACCCTCCTCAGAAAGTCCCCTGGGGCTGCCAGCTTTTCTCCCAGCCTAAATCCCATAAATCCCACCCCTTGAGGTACCCTTTCACTTCTTGGGAAATTCTTTGATCTTACTGTTTCTTTTGGATGCCCACTTTAATTCTTTGTTCTGTCCATCAAGAGTCTGAACAAAGGGGAGATGGCTCAGCGGAATAAGCACTTCTCTGGCAAGTGCAAGGGCCTGAGTTCAATCCCCGGTTCCGCCAAAAAAAAAAAAAAAAAGTCTGAACAAGGTCCAGGGATATAACTCAGGGGCATGAGCACCTGCCTGGCAAGCACAAGGTCTTGAGTTCAATCCCTTGAAAAAAAAAAAAAAAAAAAAGCCTGGGGGCCAGAGCCATCTGGGCACTGGCCTGAGGCTAGGCCTGCTCTGGAACTTGCCCGGCCAAGGTGCGGGTGCCGCATATGTGCTGATATGGGAAATCAGGATGGATATTATTTACTTATTATGTCTTAGGATTTGAAAACAGGACCTTGACACCGAGTTAGATTTCTAGCTTTTTTTTTTTTTTTTTTTTTTTTTTTTATCTTTTTTTGTGGTACCAGGGATTGAACTCAGGACCCTGTGCTTGCCAGGCAGGTGCTTCCTGAGCTGTATCCCCATCTTTTGGTACTGGGAATTGAACTCCTGACCTTGCACTTGCCAGGCGCGCACCTTGCAGCTGAGCTACATCCCAGACCCACAAGAACATTCCTCTGAGCTACATCAAGTACAGAACACGCTTGCACGCATGTTACGGTTTGCCAACGCCATTCTTTCTATTGGTGGTCTACAGCTGTAAATCCAGTTTCTACTTTGGAACACTGCTTGTATTCGTAAATATTCATTTCCCTTGTTCGAGAACGTTCTTTTCTGCACGGACGCCCACACAGACACGCCGCGCGCGGGGCCCCGCCCCCAAGTCCTGGAGCCCGCAGGCCCCGCCCAGTCCCCGGCGCCCCGCCCGAAGGCTCCGCCCCTCCGTGGAGTTTCCCAAAAGTCAGCGCGGCAGGCCGGAGTCCGCCAAGATGGCGACTCCCATGCATCGCCTTATAGCGCGGAGACGAGCGTAAGTGAGGGGCGCGTGCGGACCCCAGGCGGGCTAGGGGCGGGCAGACGCGCGTCAGCTGACGGGCGCCGAAGTGTGGGGCCGCCTCGGGTCTCCGGCAGGGACCAGCAGAGGGTGGCGTGTCTCCAGTGGGGTTCCTTGTCCCGGAAGGGCTCGGTTCCGAGGCTAAGTTCGGAGACTCGCGGCTAGTGATTTTGCAGACGCGGTTTGGTTTCCGCGAAGGGAGCGGGCAGGAGTCGGTCGCTCGGGGGTTTGTGTCTCGCGCGCGCCCCACGCGTGGCCAGTAAAAGGTTCGGTCCCTGGTCCAGCGTGTCCACTCGCGAGGACGTAGCTGGAGCCCGCCGCCAGCGCCAGCCCCGCTGGTGTCTTGCTTTGTTCCTGTGGCGTTCCCCAGAAGCCGCGGGCCACCTGCAAGGCCACTTCTTTCCCCTTCCCCCGCCGGCTTTTCGCTGTCTTACTCGTTCTGTCCTTAGTACCCACCACTGTGTGCTGGAGTTTGAGTATTAAGAAGCAGGCGTTCAGGACAAGATCTCTGCTTGCAGGAGCTGACACTGTAGGAACGGTAGTAAACCAGAAGTACTGCGCTACGGCTGGTGGTGGGAAGCTTTGCAGGAGGTAGAATTGACCGGAAAGGGGAAAGGCCGGCTGGAAGCTGGGCCTTCTGGAAGAGGTGGGATTTGGGGCGAGATTCCCAGGGTGACGGAGGTTACTTAAGGTTTTTGTTTTTGAAGCAGAGTCCTGCTAAAGCCCTGACTTTCCAAGGCTGGTCTCATGCTTGCCATCCTCCTGCCTCAGCCTTGCAGATGCTGGCACTACAGATGTGTGCTGTGAC